GGTTAATAATGAGCCCCCAAACTGATGATGCATCTATCTGTGAGCCAAAAATTCTGCCTGTAAAATCAGACTTTGAACTGAGTTCTTTGAAGAGCTGGAGCCATAAAAACTGCATCTGGAATTGCATATCAAATAGGATGATGACGGGAGAAAAGGTGGAAAGTTTCTGTCTCAGATATGTAACCCTTTAATCAATGTCAAACACTAACATGGGTGGTTTTAAAGAGAGGTTGTACAGAAATTAAACAGTCTAAATGAAACTATTTAAACATATATATCAGAGATTGGCTACATATGAGGAAAGCTGAATTAGCTTGTGGCTACTTGTATATGCTTACTTTGGCTAATGAATTAATTTTACAAAACACTCATATTCCATGTTTTGTCAGAAATATCGTATTTTATTACAATAGAACCTGCAGTCACATGCATAAATATTGGTGCAGTAAAATGCATTTTCATTGATTGTTTACTGGCAATTGACATAAAATTGCATATCCCACATGTATTTACCAATTTCACTTCATCCAGCTAGACAAGCTGCTTTAAGAAGTAAAACAAAACTGCTATTTAAACATGCACCTTCTCCCTCCCTCCCTCTTTTATATGGTCAGGTAGGTTAAAATAGAAGCCAAAAAAAAGAGTCTGAAGATAAAATATTGATGTACAACAATTCAAGCTGCATACACAAGGTACTGTTGGGAAAAACTATTCCTGAATAAAAAAGTTCAATGAAAAGATATGATCTAAAAAAACGGTGCATAAGAAGAACAAGGCCTGATTTTCAGAGTCCAAAAGGCTTTCTGTTGAAAGCTCAGCTTGGTCAAATAAATTATGACCTTTCTGGAATAATAAAGTAATATTTACCTTTCACTCCATCCATTTTCCTATCAGTAATACGTATATGCTTCCCAAGGTATTTAGGATCATGAGATTTTGTTTGTATGGAGCTTCAAAGATGGAAAACGAAAGGCATCCTGTCATTACTGGTGTTGTGCCTGAGTTGGTAAATGAAGCCTTGGGGTGGAGATGCTCAGACACCATTTTTCATGAGTGTTTCGGGCTGATCCCTCGTGCCTGGCACCTCACCTGCGCATCAGCTCATGGTTCTAAGTGCTGGGACACCCAGAGGGGTGTTTATGGAGAACTAGAATGAAAATTAATTTTAAATCCACTTTGCAGTATCTCTGCCCGCTTGGAAGGCAATAGAGACTCGTGTCTTTTATTACTTATTGCAAACAGAAGGGGAAAATGTTTCATTTTGAAATGGCCATGCAATTAAGATGCCTGGTCCCTAATGACAACAAAGAGGACATAGCACAGAATGTATCAATAAAAAACAAGGAAATCCAACCTGTTAGGACTGACACAGTATAATTAAATTTTACATTTGTTCCTGAAAGGGTATTGGCACAAACTGAGCTCATTACTTCTAAATTAAAGCTTTTATTCTGCCTGCCTACGACAACCCCTTCTAAAAAGGCTCTGTTTGCTAGATACCCAGGTGGAATTCACACATTTATTGCGTTATAGAAAGAGACTTGACAGATTCTTATCACTTCAGTATAAATAAAAATGAACATTTGGAATTATGTGACCTCCTAAGGAGGCCTGATTCTTCATGATACTGTTTTAATTTTTACAGTATAAATATGTATTACTTTAGAACTTATATCTCGTACAGTCCTTAGTCTAGAAATTGGCCAAATTCTGTCCACCATCTACCAGAGGTGCGAAAGCTGCCCCAGAACTGTGACTGCAGTGAAACCTGACACAATAGAAACAAGGGGAACAGATGATGAGTTCATAGTTTAAAGCAGGTTTATACAATACAGTGAAGCAAAAAAAAAAAAAAGATCTATATGTCCTTTAAGTGTTTTATTTATGTGGGTTTTTTTACTTATTGTTATACCAGATCTTTAGCCATAGCTTTCAAACATTTGTGAAAGTTACCATTATGCTTAATGAGTATTGGCTAGAAGCCACCAAAGACAAGTGATCTGAAGATAACTAAAACACACTAGCAACTGCTATATTTGTTGCAAGTTGAGCACAAAATAATTTTTGGAAGAAATTACAACTTCCTCTGCTTCACCTGAGGCATCCCAATTTATAATTAAAGCATGGGGTTCAACTGATGAAAATTTAGCCCTTTGGAAGCCATCTGAATATCCAGGTGCTTGTGTTCCCCACAGTGTTGGCTCAAGGTATGAATTAAGAGTTACCCTTAATAAGGCATCCGTACTACTTGACTTAGATAATGCTTTTAATCTGAAATAGCTGACCTAGCATTAGTTCTGAATTGCAGCTTTGCTGCTGAGACTATTAAACTAGTACCACAACATCTGTGCAGCCACAGTTTCCGTTTTCAACCCATCTGCAACTAATCTAATCATCCCATTCAGTCACACGTAGCTTTATAACCTCGATTAGGTTAACTGAGGTGGAATATTTGAAGCTAATTGTTGCAGCACAGACAAGCCCTGGATAGATTTAGAATATTAAGGCATTACAGCACCATGTATTTATGCTAGAGGGCACTCATATTTCATTCTGAGCAGTAATAGAGCTTGGCATTTGTATAACATATATCTTCAAAGCATGGTGCCAACAGTAACTTTCAAGGAGTGCTGTGAGGTAGGTGTGTACATCAATCCCTATTTTACAGATGAGGAAACTGAGGCAGAAAGGTTAAGGTATTTGACCCAGATCACAGCAGGGGTTAAAGGATGTTAAACACAGGTGTTAAAGGATAACACTGTGATCAAGACAACTTGAAAATTACTCTCCTCAAAAAAAGCCAGCTTATGATATATATGGAACCTTACATCTACGTGTGTGTGTGGATTTATTCTGGATGTGGCTTTTTATTTTTAAAACCACAGACCTTGCTTTCTTATTCTAAAATTCTGTGACAAAAATATATCAATTTAAGGCTTTAGGAAGAGCACATAAAAAGCTATGCCTCTGTCCCTGGCTTTCCTCTGCAGCGCCTATATAGTAACAGCTCATTCAGTAATAGGCTGAACTTTAGAGAAATGTGAACCCCATAGGTCTCACAGGATAAGGTCAGCTTGAGGATTTATTTTTTTTTCTACCCAACACCTACTTACTAGCCTTTGAGAGTTTTATTCCTTCATTTCCAACTAAGTATTCAGTGAAGTATTGCAGTGATGTCTGCAAACACAAGAGGTCACGAGATTCTGCCTTCCCCCCTCCATGGTGTTACTCATCTCTAAGGACAGAAACCCATCTCAGAAGACAGCTCCTGCCACTGAGAGTTCATGGCTTAAGAAGAAAAAGGCTCAGTAGGAACAAGAAAATGGAAGCGATTTGTCTATGGCAGGAGACAGGCAAAGTTTGTCTTGCAGGGGCTTGCAGCCAGATGTCAAGACTTCTTGTCTAGACATACGTGTCTGAATGACTCCACCAACCTGCATATTTTGTGAGACTGAAAATCAACCATTTCATTTCCACAGTACAGCTCAACAAATTCTGCACATATTCCAGGAGTGTTGCTTAGGACTGTTTCTTTTTGCTTCCTATGATCATTCATACAATCGTGTTTTTTAAAAGAATGTTCTCAGAAAGCAAATACCCTGCTATTCAACACAGATGCGTTCCTGAAAAGCTTAACTGTTACATTATAACGTGGATAGTGAATTTTCCCATGAGAGTCAACCTAATGGAAGGATGCATGCAGGGACTTACAGAATATACACAGTTTAAACACACAGGGACAACACCTGTGGCATGAAGGATGGAGAGACAGGAACAAAATCAATGAGTGCTTTTCAGAGGAGATGTTGGCTTTCTAGAATAACCTTTCTGAAAACTCTCAGCTGCTTCAGCTATGAGACTGTACCCCCGATTCCCTGTTTTGTCACTAGTTACCCTTGACTTGTTTCATCTTGATTCACTTGAAGACAATGTTAATTAACAACTATGTGAATTTAACTCTTCAGAAAGGGGCAGGAAAAACTGCATTAGGGTTCAGTCTTATGAGCTGAGTTCTTCTGGAGAACTGAATGTTGAGAAAGGCTGAGAGAGTTGGGGTTGTTCAGCCTGGAGAAGCAAAGTCTCTGGGGAGACCTTATTGCTGCCTTTCAGTACGTAAAGGGGGCTTATGAGAAAGATTCGGACAGACTTTTTAGTAGGGTCTGTTGTGATAGGACAAGGGGTGATGGTTTTAAACTAAAAGAGGGTAGATTTAGACTGAATATGAGGAATAATTTTTTTTACAATGAGGGTGGTGAAACACTGGCACAGGTTGCCCAGAGAGGTGGTGGATGCCCCATTCCTGGAAACATTCAAGGTCAGGTTGGACGGGGCTTTGATCAACCTGATCTGGTTGAAGATGTCCCTGCTCATTGCAGGGGGATTGGACTAGATGACCTTTAAAGGTCCCTTCCAACCCAAACCATTCTATGATTCTATGATTCTGTGTTCAATCCTGCCACTTTATCCAGGAAACTGAACTTGCAATGGGAATATTTCATTGTGAACATTTTTATTGCCTCTTTCTGAACAGCTATATTTTCACTGTCATCATCATCTTCCTCATATGAAACAAGATCATTCAAGTGTGAGGGGTGACAAAAAAGTGTAATGATGATGGTTGCCTGGTCAGGGTATTGAGAAGACAGGCTGGAGGACCAATGGACAAGTAGACTATTACTGCAGTCACATCACAAATATGAGCTGTCAGAAACTACATTGCAAAGAAATAGGTTTTGATATCACTGCTGGTGCTACCCAACTGGGAAAGCACAGCCATCACCATGAGTCTTACTTGACCAGTAGCCAAAGACAGTTTTGAATAGTTGCTATCAATGAACAGCTCATAATAAATTTCAGCTGTCAAAGTTATGGAAAAAGTTAAGTATATTTTTGAGAAAATGGCAATCTGCTTATGGACAATCTGGGCAGACTGGGTACGCTGGATAAAGTATACATTGTGAATCATAGTTGTTCAGCTCTTGTAATAGTCTGGAAGTCTCTTAGGATTTAAAGCAACCTGAACAACTGACAAACTTGGAGGAATTCAAGTGTGGTTTTACAATATCTGGTTCAACAGACTGAACTGGATCACTCTCACTAGCAATTATGTGTTTCACCAAGCATCTGGAAGCTTCATTGATGTTTATATTTTCCTGCAAGTGAAAGAGAAAGAGAGGTTGATTAGTCAATATTAATTACACCATGCTGCATATTTTCTGTGCATAATTAAATTTTTCTCTAGGCAACATGAACAGTTTACTTTCCTTAATAAACAGCTTTTAAAAATTGACTGTATTACATAATGCTTACTGTAGTTTTTAAGGTAGGTAGGTTTTTTGTATATTATGATTCATATCTCCTTTAAATTATACACAGAGCTCACTTTAAATTACCCTAAATTCTTGGTGATTTGATTGCTTCGATAAACTAAACAAAAAAATGCCAGAGGGATGTTAAAGACAGATGCCTGAAATAACGCTCCAAAATCCACATTTTACTGCTTGAAAAATGGTTACTCTAATTTTCAAATTATTAATTACCTATCAGCAACTACAGCCATCAATAGCACTTATTTTTTAAAGCCTTTCCCACATTTTCAGGAAGATTTCTGTATACAATGCTCACAATGAAACCTGTGATGAACCAGATTCGTTGAATAAATGATACAATCTCAAGTTATTCACAAAACAGTAAAAAAAGTTCTACATCATTCGCAGTCCTCACTTATTTTTTGTTGAGGCTGAGTTATCTCCAATGTACTGCTTCAGAAGAGCTGTATCACCATTGGTTTCATTTGTAAGACAGAAATCCTCACTCTAGGGGTTTAGAACAAAAGGCAAAGCACATCTTTTTCTACATGTGCCTTATTTCAACAGCACATTTAACTTGCAGCAACCCTTACTCTGTTTGTAGAATAAGCAAAGCTGAAACAGCCTGATCAGTGAGACAGAGCTCAGCACAGCATAGAAAATAAGCAGTAATACTGCATAAGGATTTTTTTTTTTTTGTGACGGCCACCGATATGTTTGGAATGAAAAGTCAGGCTTTCTGGCATAAAAGACACTCTTCTATTCTAACTGTTGGCATTGATTACTTATTTTATATGACAGGAGATAGAAACCTCACCGTAGCTTCAATTTGCTGGGAAATTGTATCACACACCCACATACATACATATAGAAATGTATACAAATATATATGTATATATTTATGTATATGCACATACTCCCCTGGCTCCATAAAGATTATGTTTTTATTTGCAATCCGAAACTGACCCAGGTTTCCAAGCTGAATCTGGAGCCTGTTGTACTGAGACCATAAACATCCATGCACACAATGCCATGAAGTCTACCTTCAGCAAATGCTCAGCATCAATTCAGCATCATTAATAAAATAACCTGTAAAATTTAATATGTGAAACTTTTTTTTTGCATGTGTATGTTCAAAAAAAGTCAGATGAGATGTTTAAGTATGAAGTTCAGCTATAAAAGAAAGAAACCAAAGTACATGTGTGTATGTTTCAGTAGAGTTGGTACAATTATATGAAGATCAAAAGCTAAAGTAATGGATTGTGTGGGGTTGATTTCTAATTCCCCTGAAATCAATGGCAAAGCTCCACAAACTCCATTGACCATCCCTTCGCACCGCAGTAAAGAGCTGAAATCTGGGGATCCAACTGAAGACGTTAGTTAGTGCCAAGATTTCACGGGTTTCTTCAACTACACAAGTGAACTTAAATATTTGAAATTTTACCTGTAAAGAGTATCAGCTGGTTGTAAAAAAACAATCTTTAGACAAGTCATTTACATACTAACCCCTAGAGAGTAATACAGAGCCGGGAATCAGCTCTGTACTGAGATGTTAAAATGTTACTGTATCACATGGCTCTCTCAGACCAGACAAGCAAATTCCTCAAGCATGCACCAAAAGTCTTTTTCAGAACACTGTGAAATTTTATTAGAAAAAATAGACAATGAAAAATATCTCTCTGTACTGCTTAGAAAGCTGAAGACAAAACAGAATTTTAAATGCACAAAAACACCCACGAAAAATCTTTTGCATTGTGTTTTCCTTTATTAATAAACTGATAAGCATCATTTACCCATGTGCTGCTTCTCTCTCGGGATGGCAGCATGCATTTTTGCAATAATGTCTTAGTGACTATCTGAGATTGTGCCCAAATTGATTAATGTTCAGATGTATTAACAGAAACCATCTCTGTCAGAAGCTTAAGATCAGCATTTTGTACGAGTGGGAAAGGGAGAAGGAACCCAAGCCCGCAAAAGCATAAAACAGGTATAGGTGGACATCCCTCAACCCCACTGGTGATAGATGGAAGTCCATGTGCCAGACCCCAGCCTAAAAATTCAGAAGGAAAAAACAATGTTGTTTTACTTCAGCCAGAACTCAAACCAAAGTGAAATTGGATTATCAAACCTCTTTTTAAATCTATATTTTTTTTGAGGAAGAAAGCCAAATTTGAATATGCAAGTATTGTTTTGACATTAAAAGTCAAAATATTTAGTTTTGGGAATATGAAAATTAAAAGCTTCTCTTTTTCTGCATTGTTGTTTCTCCTTCTTAATGAAATGATTTACCAAATTTGACCCGTATTTCTTATTACATTATTAATTGCATTTTGGATTGAGTTTGCTGTTTTCCTGGCAGGTATCTGCCCAGATCTACTGACTATCTGTAAAGCGGGATTAGATACAGATAGAGGTCATCCCTGGCTCTGGCCATTCCACTTGAAAAGGCTTCTACTTTCAGTCCGTGCCCACCTTCCTCTCTGCTAGGGCATCATCCCTTCAGATGGGCCTGCTGAAGTTTGTGACTGAGCTCTTCTTCAAGCAAAATGTGCTGGTTTGCGAGGATTCACCATTCAAAGCATTTGCACCCATGCCATTAAAATTCTGCTTTTTGTTCTGTATGAGAGGAAAGGAATAAAAAGTCCTTTCCATAATGTGTGTTAGATCAGAGAGGCATTTTCTTATCCTGAACATTTATATGAACTGTCTAAGCTGTGTGGATGAAAATTTCTGCTGGGGTACAAAGGGAGAAAGAGAGGAAGGGTGACCCTGGCAGACAGCACAGCTGTTTTTGAGCTTGTGTCTAGCTCCAGCCTTCTCCCATGGTTCAGATGACAACTGGTACGTGGTATGGATGAGAAGCGACATATTAATTCACTCTCTGCAAGGAGCATATGCTCATGCCAACAAAGCAACTCCTGCTGTCCCAGCTCTATGCCTTGACCGCTTCCTTTCTGATGCTACTATTGTCTGTTGTTACAACCCTAATCCTACAGTGCCTACTCTGTGTCCCAGGTCTGTGGATCAGACATGGCTGTATTCTGGTCTGTCTAATGAAATATTGATTTCTGCACCTCTCCTTTTACAATGCGTTTTGGAAAAAAAAAAACAAAACAAATCAATATTCTGCTAGGCAGTGAAGCAGCTGCAGACAGTAGAAGGTGATCTGCTATCCAAACACAGACGCCCAGAGACCTGGTAATTTTAGAGGGCAGGAGGTGTTGAAAGGCAATCTAGGGAAGGGCAGAGAAAAAGGAGCAGGTGAAAATCCACCCAACAAATACAAAGAAACCAACAACCAGAGCGTAAGATTGGACCAAGAGGAATAATCACAGACACCCTACTAATTGTACTAAAACATAGAAACAGCCCCAATTATGCCTAAAAATAAAATTAATTATGTTTCAGAAAAGAAAGAAAATACAGGCGAGACAACAGAGTGAAATGATGTTTTTCTGTGAGTCTCTATGTTGAAATGCCTTAACTGTCATCTCCCTTATGGCTTTTGTTCTACACAAAACACTGCAGGAATTGTGATGATTGCTGCAGTTCAGAGTTTTTTCTTTCTCCTTGCCTCTTCTCTTCTCTTCTCTTTTCTCTTCTCCTCTTCTCTTCTCTTCTCTTCTCTTCTCTTCTCTTCTCTTCTCTTCTCTTCTCTTCTCTTCTCTTCTCTTCTCTTCTCTTCTCTTCTCTTCTCTTCTCTTCTCTTCTCTTCTCTTCTCTTCTCTTCTCTTCTCTTCTCTTCTCTTCTCTTCTTCCCCTCCCCTCTCCTCTCCTCTCCTCTCCTCTCCTCTCCTCTCCTCTCCTCTTCTCCCTCCTCTTCTTTTTTTTCGTTTTTACTAACTTCCTTTCATGTTCTGAACAAATTCTTTAGGTCATACTGAGGGGCCTACTCTGCCTCCTTGGTGGAGCCACTTCTGAACATCAAGATGTTCAGGGGTTATCTAACTCTTGACATGGTACTAGATGCACCTGTAGTGCTGTAGCTTGTTTTCCAGCCTGCTCTGAGGGCACTTTTATCTTCACAGTTCTCCAAGTACTGGGGAAGGTCTGTCTACCTATACTACTTTTGAGGCTGCTATTACTCAGCACCACATCTTTGATGTGTTTATCTTCACAGCATCTTTCTGTGATAGGGAAGTGCTGCTATGGCCATTTATCAAATGGAGAAAAAGCAGAGCCCCAAACAGAGAGAACTGCATGAAACCTGGTCCAGCACATGGTGGCTAGCTGGAAGGTGGGAGATGGCATAGTTTGAAGTCTTCTCATGACAAGGCAGGAACGCAACACCTTTCTTTCCCAAAGCTTGTGGGAGAGTTTTTACTGCAAGACCAAAAAGGAAGGTTCTTACCCATGTTCTGGTGCCTTTGTTGCTATCAGTCCTCTCTTCCTGCTTTGCTCTACTTCTCACATTGACATCCTGATTTAGCATGCTAGCTTTTATGAAACCCTTCCCTGGGCATCTCCCCTTGCCCTGTCCCCTGACATGCCTAACCCATTTCTGTGACTTTTGTGCCTCAGTAAGCTCCAGCTCCTGAAAGACACTGTCACAGTCAATGATGCAAGAACTAAGTTGTGAATCCAGCCCTAAGTGATTTACCCTGCATCAACCTGCCAATGTCTGCCAGAGCAAGGACCTGAACCCAGCCCCGTGATGATGTCTGACTACTTGAGTCGGTCTTTCTCTTGACCCCATTGAGAAGGAATGCAAAAGTGAAAATCAGCACATGCTACTCTTTATTCTATTACCAAATAAAGCAAGGCAAAAAGAATAACTCTGAGCAATCTCTGAAAGCCAGAAAGGAACACTGGAAGACACAAATGAAATTACAGTTTGCTTTGTA